TTCGTCATTTCAACGAGATGGGCAGTGTCAAATTTGATAAATAAAAAATAAAATCTCAGCTATTCTTATGTATGCATATCTAATTCTTTTTTTCCTAATTCCTTTCTTCTGCATTAGTAATCCGCCCCAGTACGCTAATGAAAAGGAACCCAGTTTAATTTTAGATGCATTAACAATTAATTCAACAGGCTTATGCAACTTGTTTGCCCATAACTGAAGTTTAATAAACATGTCTAAAACTGCCAAAAATGCTTATTCTCATTTGAAGATATGGATTGCAAAGTTCTTAAAGTAAAACAAAATTCTCTGCATCAATTAATATTTCAGTTTGAAAATTTTCCATCATGTGTAGTAATATCAATCTTTAAGATTGTTCTGCTCAGAATTTGCTTGTTCTTCTGACAGAATATATGACTATAGGTATGATAACCTCTGATCCCCTAACACTGGATATGAGGGCCTTTTTATGGAGGTAAGTAAAAAGTAAAGCCAAAACTGGTGCCTGCCATTCAATATTTTTCTTAACCAGCTTGGCTGCATTATGATTACTTTTACTAGAAGCTTTCCAGCTTTCAGATGAGCTATCAGATTTTTAATCTCAGCAGTTGAAAGAGCTGACCACTTGATTAAGGTTTATCTGGGAGTGATAAAATGCACATTGCAAGAATTATATAACTGTGATAAGCTATAAGTAGAATTAAACTAATCACAGCAACTAAACCAAATAAGTTAAATCAGAGTTTCCTAAGTAAATTAATAGTAAAATATCTAGTATAACGCCAAGCTGACATTTTTAAAGCACTGAATGAATCAGTTGGACATACTATGAAATCAGTTACAATACATTTGAAATCTGTAAGACTTAGGCCATTTCGATGTAAAACACTAAACTGTTGCTTTAGGGGAGTGAACAGCAAGTCTCAAGTTTGCATGAGCTCTTCTGCCTTCCCTTCCCTTTGACTCAGAGGTAGGGTTGGAATCACAAGTGCTCAATTCCTGTTTTAAGCTAATCAGTTTGTCATTATATTTTACTTGAAGGCAACTTTGGTTAGTTTAAAATAGCAGAGAGGCAGCTTTTTAGCCAGAGAGTTGCATTCTTTTCTTGTTTACCTTTATAGCAGTTTGGTTTGAAAAAAAGCTTCTGACAACAATTGACGCCAGAGTTTTTTCTAGACATATTGCTGGGAGAGGAATAAACTCATGGCAATTGCAGTACAGGGAAGAGAGGGATAATTTCCTTTGACATTCCTCTTCTGTGTGAGACAATTAGATGGAAAAGTACCTTTTATTAAGTGTAACTGCAATGGTATGATTGGGGGGAGATGGTCAAAGTGTGCAAAAAGAGTAGGGTCAACCTTTCTTCTCTAACTTCAGCCTTCATGAAGGAGTCATCAGAAGCCTTTCTGAAGACCAGTTGTTTTGAAGAAGGTATTTTATGGGAGGGTGTCTTAGCATGGAGACTATGGTTAAATGTTTCTTTCCCAAATGCAACTTTTTTGAATAAAGAATATTTTACCTTCTCTTGCAAGAATGGGAAACCATATCCAAAAAGAGAAGTGGAAGATGATTTTTTATCATCATAAAAGATTTATTGGTGTGGAACTCCATTTTAAAATCTCCTCTCACTCTTGAAAATTGCTGGATGGTTTTGAGTCAATCACTCACAGCTTAATCCATCTCAGTTGTTAGTGGGAGAAAAGGTATTGTATATGTTGCCTTGAGCTTTAGGAAGGAAGGAAGATAATGAGAAAGCAGAGCCAGATAAAGAGCCAAAAAGGATGTTTGCTATTCTAGAGTTTGTTAAAGTTCAGTGTGTATAATCTAAATTATTATAGCTTTTTAAGTATAGGATCAATGTCTATGTCACAAGCTAATACAGACTGAAATTATAAACCACCCTTAAATACAATTAAGCAAAGGTTTTTGCAAACAAAGGAAATGTTAGCATCTGGTCTTAAAATATACTACGTTGGGTGAAATACTGAAATACCGAGGCTATCATATTGGACTAGAAAAAAAAGCTACGATGTCTACATTCTATACTCTGAATCTCCAGACTGGAGCTAGGGGTTGACGGAATGTCTACTGACATGTTATT